ATAAAGTGTTTTCAAAATAGTCATCATAAAAATAGATAGTTTGTTTTCTGTGAAAATAGAAACCATTGATCTTGTCTCTATTCTTATTTCAAATGATAGAGAATAATGTGTATCAGATAACCAGTGTCAGACTTTCACCTACTATTGTGTCCAGTTGTAAAGTTCACGATGTGAGTTTCTTCTCATTTAGGACTCATCATATAGATGTATTTACTAGTGGGTGTCTGGATTGAAAAGCTCATCGGATGATACATTGGACAATTGAAGTGAAAAGTGATGGGTTAAATCTAGGAAAGAACACCAACAATAGGATTTAGTTAAGTCCAACAGACGAGTTTCCCATAGGATGAAACACTAATCCTGGATTCCGCTGCCAGCTACTACTACCAGCCAATCGTGAATCCGCTTTCAATGAATATTTGCCAAAAGGATCACAGTCTTGAGCATCGTTACTAAATATTTCAACAGATATCTTTACATATCTCACTCAAGTATCGCGTTGTCTCAGTGGTGCTGCTAATTGGAAGCAATCATAGACACAAATTCTACTAATTGAAGGGATTTATAGAGATTGTATCAGTTTTACAGTTGAAGTCACGAACTGATTTAGGCTAGTCGACCATTAGAAACCTGAAAGCATTGGACAGCCGTTTCGTACAAGTGCACATCCATGACCAAAGAAAGCTCAAACCGAACTCAGTGCTTTCGATCTTGTGTGCTTACGCTTAAACTCTAGATCACTGAGTCGGTATCCACAGTGGTGCTAATGTCTAGCTTAAATCAAACCATGATGTTACAAAACATTCATCCATCACTTGAGACCACTCATCACATTCAGGGATCGTGGATGCTGAATACGGAGGAGTCTAATACTCGAACTTTCAAGTTTCTAATGGTGGTATAGCTTAAATCAGTTTGGGATTTCATTTATGAAATTGAATTTCTTTGAACACTCATTAACAGTAAATTCTCTTCAATGTCTCGTTTTTAGTTAACTGTATCAGAGATTGTCTTTAGAAAAAAAATCAATTTTTATATTTTTTAATTTGAATATAACATGTACATATACAAACAAAAACGACGAATGTGAATGTCGTTAACTAGGAGTTAGTTATTGGACAAGGAATTTATGTTGTCAATAATCTTAAAAAAAATCAATAAATAATATATACACTTTATTTATTGTGGATCAGTGGATTACTAGTTTTAAATTGTCAATTGAAATTTCACCAAAGTAGTTAAGGTAGGAAAAGTATTAGCAGTAATCGGATAGATCAGGGTGTAGTGAAGGAGAACACAGGTGAGGGCATCCGAATTGTATTTAACGAAAATTACAGTTACTCAGTGGAATCGGAAAACCATATCGTCGTAAATCGTTAATCTGCAAAATATCAGTCCATCATATCGAACTGGACTGTTCCTGTTGCAAACAACATCAATCCATTGTCACCACTATTCATGCGTTTCATACAAATTCCATTGTGTTCCCACTCTTCTTCCTTTCTTGATCTTCCCCCATCTTCTGCTGCTAGACATTACGTTGACTGACACTCACGTCATATACTACTTATAAGTAGCTCGCACTACAAGGATTCGAAGATAGAAATAATTCAACTTTCTACATCTTGGAATAATCCATTACGATAGACACATATACCACAGATAAAAAGTCAAGAGCTATGGTTTAATGGCTAAAATGTTCATTTTACAACCGGTGTGTAATAATTTTGAGACTCGCTCTAGGCCGTCGCCTAGTATTATTAGCCAGCAAACAACCGGCATGGCTCTACACTGTGTATACGAATATGACCTTGATCAATGAGTAATGGTAATGTATCAATGAGTTTAACAAAACAATTCGGTCCAAAAAAAACTTTAAGGCTTAGGGAGATATAAATCAATACATAACAGCTACTGAGTTAGTTAAAATAAGATAAGGTTGTGAATGTACTTATATAAAAGAAATTAAAAATCATTTCAACTTTAAATGATTCTCAATGATTGATTCTAAGGTATTAAGTGAATTTTAAGAAGAGATTATTTACAAGGTCACACATTATAAAACATGAACTGAATAATATAACTGTTTTTTAAAAAAAAAATGATACAATCATAAAACATGGTCATTAAGGAGACAAACATGAGAAGACTGCAAGTGTATAAAAGTGATGAGTTGAGTTATAGTGTAGTGAAGGAGAAGACAGGTGAGGGCAACCGAATTGTATTTAACGAAAATTACAGAGTTACTCAGTAAAATAGGAGGAAAACCATATCGTAAACGGTTAATTTGCAAATCTTCAATCAATCATCAATCCATTGTCTGACATTTCACTATTCATGCGTTTCATACAAATCCGATTGTGTTCCCACTCTTCTTCCTTTCTTGATCTTCTCCCATCTTGTGCTGCCAGACATTACGTTTACAATCACGTCATATACTACTTATAAGAAGCGCGCACCACAATAGTAGCAGCAGCAGGTATTTCTACCACTAGTTAATTATTTTAATTACATTGGGGTACATACAGTATTGAAACCAACAAAAATTCAAACCATTCGCTTGTTTCACAATTGAATGAACGTCTCACTTATTCAGTAACGATATAATAAATAACTTGAAGTTAATTAAACTATACAATCTTGTATCTTGATGACAGTAGTTCAATTTTATAATTTTAGTTGGTTCGGGTTAGAGTAAGTGAGTGTTTACCCACAGTGTGGGCAGCCAGGAAGTGATATTCTCTTGCATAGTCCTAACCTCATTCAACATTGAATTGTTTTACTTTACCAGGTTATATATAATCAATTACACAGTTCATGAAACATTCCGATCTGGTCTGCAACTTGGCCAAGAAAACTTGTCTCATTCGCATGTTAGACTTAATTTAGTCATTTGACTGTATGTATAAAGTTACATAACAGATAATACTAGTATTTTCAATTTGTAACTTAATTCAACCAAACCATATAAGTAGCATAAAAAAGTAGACAGTAAGAAAAAAAAATAAACTAAATGATTTCGCAGCTATGACTAGTTTGTAAAATTGAATGTATCATTTCAAGTTACATTTTTTTTCATCAATGTGTACAGTTATAATAATAGTAGTGTGGTGCGCGCTACTTATAAGTAGTATATGACGCGAATGTGTAAACGTAATGTCTAGCAGCAGAAGATGGGAGAAGATCAAGAAAGGAAGAAGAGTGGGAACACAATGGAATTTGTAGGAAACGCATGAATAGTGAAATGTCAGACAATGGATTGATGATGATGAAGATTTACAAATTAACCGTTTACGATATGGTTTTCCTACTTTACTGAGTAACTCTGTATTTTCCTTTAAATACAATTCGGTTGCCCTCACCTGTGTTCTCCTTCACTACATTTGGTGTCGCTGTCTCCGCGAAGGAAGGATCTCCCGTGGCCGAAGGAGTTTGCGGACGGAGATTCGCGGAGCTTCCTGGAGGAGGTTGAAACCGTGGTGGGGCTGGTGGGTGTGAAGGGGCCCGAGGCGGAGTTGGTGGTGCTGGGGACGCTGCAGGGAGGTGAGGCAAAGGCGGCATACGACAGCCTGAACGGTGCCGCCGGGGAGACGGTCACCGGGCGGCTGATGACGGAGTTCGACAGCTCAGTGGACAGGGAGGGGGCGCTGCAGGAGTTCCGGTTGGCGAGGCTGTCGGCCGATGGTGACCCGCTGGTGCTGACTGTGGAGCTCACCAGATTGTTGCGCCGTGCTCTGCCGAATATCGATGAGGAGTCGGAGGCACAGTTGTTGGCGTCGCAACTTATCGAGAGTGTGCCTGCTGCCGTGTCCCAGCAGCGGGAACTAGTAAACGCTACACGTTGGATAGATGCCAAACCCATTCCAGACAAGAGGGCAAGAAAAATGACCGAAGCGCGTAAATGCTAGTCAACTGCAGAGATGGTTTCAAGATTATCAAGTGTATGAGTCACGAAAAGTACCGAAGACGACAACGGTACGGCACTCAGAAAGATTACGACGACAGTTTATTAAAAGTGGGGACGAGTTTGGTGCGCGCTACTTATAAACGTAATGTCTGGCAGAAGAAGATGGGGGGAGACCAAGAAAGTAAGAAGAGTGGGAACACAATGGAATTTGTAGGAAACGCATGAATAGTGAAATGTCAGACAATGGATTGATGATGATGAAGATTTACAAATTAACCGTTTACGATATGGTTTTCCTACTTTACTGAGTAACTCTGTATTTTTCTTTAAATACAATTCGGTTGCCCTCACCTGTGTTCTCCTTCATTACAGAGTAGTTTTTTTTAAAAAAAATGATCATTCACTTCAAGTTAACTGCTTGGTTCTATCAACAATAATCATATTTAGTTTGACTAAAGAAGTAAACTAAAGTAAGTCCATCACACAACCATGTATAAAACATCAAGAAGCATGAAATGAAATACGGAATCGTTTATTTCCAGAGTGTAATAAACCATGTATATATATATGAAGTTCAACCTGTTCGGGTGTAGACAGTAACTACCGAAGACTGTGTATGAGGTTGCGCAACTCCGGTGAATATGATCAAGTTAGACATTAACACCGTTAGATACCGGCTCAGTGGTCTAACGGTTAGGGCGTTCGCGCACAATACCGAAGGTCCTGGGTTCAAATCCTGCGGGGTGCAGGAGTCGTGGATGCGCACTGCCACTGATGAGTAGTCCCATACCAGGACGAAACGGCCGTCTTGCAGTGCTTCTTCCAGGTTTCTAATGATGCTCTAACATTGATCGATTCATGGTTTCAAAAAAAATGTGTAACTTAACAATCTTCACAACCCCGTAATGCATATATATGAATGTAGAAAGGCACATTATATCTCTGTAATATACACTATCCTATGAACATATTTTCCTACATCTTAATATAACTGAAATGTTAGTAAACTTCACAGCGAACATCATAAATAATAATAATAATAATAATAATAATAATAATAATAATAATTTAATAGATGATTTACAATGCTTACCATTTGTGTGACCATAAATGCATGTTTAAAATTATGAAATGGTACATTGTTATATCGGGAATAAATTGAAAATAACCAATTTTCAAGTGTATCAATAGTGAAACGACATAATTCCGGTAGATTTAAATCCATGAACATAAATTTAACAAAATTAATTAATTCAGCATCTGAGTATAACCAATTATTGAATGAATAAGATTTTAATTGATCTTTTATAGATGAAGATATTGGTTGAGATCTGTAAGGAGAGATAAAAAAAAAGGATATGGTAGTTATGATGTAACAATTTGAAAAATTGAATACTTCTATATTCATCATAGGTTACTATAAAAGTCAATGAAGTCTAGATAGCACCGGAGAGTCAGTCAGTCAGATGCAACGTAGAACTTTGTACATAAGTACATCAGTTCGTGTTGCCATACCACATCAGCACAGAGATGTAATTGTCAATTCAAATCCAATAGTAGAAGAGGTAGTGAAGGTATTAGAAGTAATCGGAGAGGTTAGGATTAGAAGATATTATTCAAGAAGTATGATTCAGTGAGCTAAGTTTAGAAAGACAAAACTAGAGGTGTTGAAGAATCCAGAAGATTAGGATTTGAGAGAACACAAAGAATAAATGCACTGGCGCCATCGCGAACGATTTTGAGCCATGTCATTCAAGGTCTCTAATCATCGATTATTATCATCTCGCGGACCCCAACCAGGTAGTCAACAATTACCGACATGGCTAAGTCCACTCGTCAATGACTTCATGGATTTGTGCCATGTTTTGGTTTGGCCACCCCTAACTTTCTTCCAACCTATTCCTACACTACAAAACAAAGCTCGACGAGGCAGTCGGTGGTTAGGCATACGCAACAAATGTCCCATCCACCTCAACTGATGAATTTTCATTACTTCGTCTATTGATCTGCCATCACTATCTAGCACCCGTGTCCTAATAACACTGTTGCTCACTCGGGTGTCACAGGATACACGAGCAATGCTTCGAAGACACCTATGATCGAAAACCGGTAACCTACGAATATCTTATAGCACCGGAGAACATAATAATCAATGTAATGGATACTTTAGTAAGGATTTAGTTAGTATGAAAGTTCAAATTTATTGTGATGAAGAACAGATAAAAGTTAAACAACAATTTTAAAACCTGGAAGGAAGCGAACCTGAAAAGCTCTTAGGTAATAAATAGTATGTGGTCCTTCAGCAATGCATATTTATGACTCTGCCATTGAAGATCTAACCTTCAGACCACTGAGTTGGGATTCAACTTCGTTTCACGACATATTTCATCAATCACTAGATCCTTTATATTCACCGACTTAAGTAATTCTCTTTAATCATTTAACCCTATGTTCAATTGTATCGACTGATAGCATTCTCATGTACCACGTACAGACTGATGTACTCAGATTTGAGCCACTCTCACTGTATGAAGGTGATTGAGCTACCCAGAAATAAAGTAACATTGGACTTGAATCTGATACCTAGTAATTAAAAAGATTAACGCTTAAACCATTACTTCATAAGTCCTATTTAGTGTATAGTTTGCATCGTTACAGCTTATTTATTTTAATTAGGCTTTACAGTATTATCCACTTCTATTTGGTGTCAAATATCAATAAATTCAACTCACTATTCTTATATCAGTTATATGACTAAGAAATAAATCCTATGGACTATAAAAAATTGTTCCTTAGACCAATTTTTTCAAATTTTGGACCAAAAGTAAATATGAATCGATCAATGTTAGACCACCATTAGAAACCTGGAAACACTGGACAGCCGTTTCGTCCTGGTATGGGACTCCTCAGCAGTGCGCATCTACGACTCCTGCACCCCGAAGAATTTGAACCCAGGACCTTCGATATTGTGCGCGAACGCCTAACCACCGGACCACTGAGCCGTTAACTAACGGTGTTAATGTCTAGAATGATCAATTCAAGGAGTTGTGCAACCTCATACACAGTCTTCGGTAGTAGTTACTGTCTACATCCGAAGAGGTTGAACTTCACTGGTCACGTCTTCCCACTAGAACTCGGAGAAGGATTCCTCACGAAGCTAGTCACTAGTGAGCACAGGTAATTTGCATTACGGGGTTGTGAAGATTGTTAAGTCTAACATTGATCGATTCATGGTTTCAAAAATGTGTAACTTAACAATCTTCACAACCCCGTAATGTAAAAATGAATATAACAAAACAAGTAGCCTTAAACTAAATATTACACAAGTAATGTTTGCGATTTCAGCAACAACTATATTATGTTCACTTCATGTAATCACTTAATTAACAAGCATATCATCTAAAGTTTGAGTTTAATAATTAGTCATATCACATCGGCATTTTTAACGAACGCAATCCAAGTAAACTGTATGCTAGAAGTAGTAGACTGTTAAAAGAATAATCAGAATTACTACAACTTTTCTCACTGAATCATACTTCTTGAATAATATCTTCTAATCCTAACCTCTTCGATTACTTCTAATACCTTTACTACCTCTTCTACTACAGTTGGATTTGAATTGACAATTACATTTCTGTGCTGATGTGGTATGGCAACATGAACTGATGTACTTACGTACGAAGTTCTACGTTGCATTCGACCGACCGACCGAGTATAGTATGAGAGATAGAAAAGTTATTCAGGCTTTATAATAGAATTTATCAGTTCGTTGACAGTGATGAAATACTCAAACCATTCGATTACTGTTGTATGTGTTATAGGTACATATTATTATTAGCCTTACCACAAAATCAACTTAAAGACAAAAATACATAAACAAAAACTTATGTGAACACATACAAATATAACTTACCGAATAGCTAGAAAATGATTTCTAACTTTAGTGAATTGTACAAAAGGTAGTTTAATACTTTCTGGATTAGGACAATAAGGATGACAAGAGATTCGTTGAATATCGTCGTTAGGATATTGAGCATTAGTTACAGTGTATGTCTCTTGAGAATTGTTTGTTTTAAAAGAATGATCTACTGAACAAATTTCTGTGCTCTTATTTGTATCATTATCATCAGTTGTTGAGATTTTAGATGAAGAAGAGATAGTTGAAAATAACCAGGCACTACATTTTGTTGGTAAATGAATTTTATTGTTTGTACTATCTTTACTAGGTGGTGTACGAGATGATTTTACATGACAACGAACTAATCGTTTAAACATCTATATATATGTGGTTGTAAAAAAATAGAATTAGAAAAAAAAATAGATATAATAGGTTTAAATAATGAATACGAAATGATAAAACATGTTTACATATCTAACAACTTGTGAAAGAATATATATGTAGGAAAATGAGATTTAGCCATGTTAGATTATCTTGAGATAATTCCAGGAGTTTCACTACAAAGTTATAACAAGTGAGGTTCATCAGTGTAAGATTTGAGCCATTTTATATACCGACAACATTAGCAGACATCACGGTTACGCGAAAATTGACTAAATCTAGAAAAATGTAAAGCACCGATTGTCGGCTAAATGGTCTCAAAGTTAAGTATTGGCAGGAAAATCTGAATGCTTTGGGTTCAAACCTCCATGGGATAGTGAGTGTATATCCCTGAGAAGTTTCGTGCTAGAACAAAATAAATGCTCATTACGTTCTGGTTTTAAATAGCAGTTTAACTAATGTTAGTCTACGACGCAAATTATAAATTATTAAACCTTATTGTATAAATCTGTCGTCAGAAAGTACACAAAATCAGATGTTTGCTCTCAGTATTTTATTTAGGTCTAAAATTTTCTGAAGGCCATACGTGGTTTAAAAGACTAATTAAAAAGTGAGTAATTGGCGACCGGAAAAATTCGGATTTGATTTAGGGAAACATGACATTTTATATCATAGTCTTTGAACATGTTATAGTGGTTAATATTGATTTTGACTGTCCACATGATATTCTATTTATGTTAGACAAGTGGATTCCTAAAGTCCTTCGTTAAAGATTTGTACGAACTTAGATTATTTGGACAACACTTTACTTTGCAGATACATATGTGTAAATAACTAGCACATAAGTTGGAGAGATTAGTTGCATTATGCGTTGTTAGAACTAGCATATAGTTTCGGTTACCTGATGGAATCTTAACATACAGTGTTCCATATGGAAGTAAATAATTTTTTTCATATCAGTGATTTTGACTGATAAACTGAAACACAATCAAGGTTTTCTGTCCTTTCTAAAAGGGTTTACTGCTAGTAGAGCGTGAGTTTATAGGTAATACAGGATCTTACGGGGAATGGAAAATACGAATTTTCCACTCCAACAGGGGAATACTATATTTTCGTGTTATGCTCTGGTTGAACTCGCCACTCCAATTTAGCACAGTTAGGTAAAGTTAACAAGATAAGTTGTGAGAAATTTGAGACAGCAGTAATCCAAAACTAATAATTATGTTTTTTTTATCATGAAATAGAGATGAAGCACATTTAAACCGATTAACATCTTTATCAAACATATGAGATGACTGGATATTATACGTAGAGTAGACAGGGTTTATGAAGGAACAGTAGAGAAATGTTACACTAAGTTCATGTACTGTATAATAGTAGGGCGTCAATGTTGGAGAAGGCATATTAATTGCATCCAATAGTGTCAATACAGAATGACATAAAGACAACTAATATGCATTGTGAAACAATCTACACAAACGAGCTATAATAGATCAGTGGGTTATTCGGCACCGGCTTCTTGAGTTGTCGTACATGTTCCTGAATTTTCAGTTTAAACAAGTTTATTCTGGCTGGGTGTATGTGATTGTAACAGAATAAAACAGATTCTTAATCATTATATTACGAATTTCTTCTAGCTTATTTTTTGCCGTCCTTTTTAATATTTAGCACTAACTTTATTTAGAAAACGACATTCTAATTTACATGAATGTGTTTAAAAGTATACATAAACAACCGTTTGGGGTGAAATAATAATAACTAGTAACAAACTGATATGCCGACTTACACTTAGTTATCAATAAAATCCTCAATCATGATTAAATTGCTTATTTTAGGAGGTAAATCAGTACCATCCATAACTATATACTACCACCATGTAATAGCACCCGTCGAGCAACAGAACAAAAGAGACCAAATAACAACTTATGTACGTGGCGCTGTTAGTCAAGGTTAATATACAATATTCAATATCTTAGTCACGAGCCAATAAAAAAGTATTTATTTAATTTCTCACGATTTCTATTGTTTCTGTATGGTTTCAGGTATTTTATAATGTCCAGTTGGCTGTAATTCCATCAATAGACTGAACCACCTCAAGTCCGTTCTGTAGGTAGGTTTGTATGTCTTGTGATATCCACTATCTCATATCCTTTACACGAGCTAATATAAACGGGTTAATGTTTTTGCACTTGGTTCCTTTTCTTCTTGTTCGGCTCAAGATAACTTCTGTTGTTCAATGGATGGCATCTTAGCCACTCGATTGTAATAATCCTAGTTAGGTGACAGTTATCAATGGATGTGTGTCCCGTGATTTTAGTGAATGTGTTCGTCACAGGGTAGTAGGGTATCTGGATACCAGAAGGTATCACTTTACCGTGCCGGATATCAATTAGTTGCAGTGTGGGAAATAATAGGTAGAAAAAAATAATGGCAACAAGATTTCAGAACTAAGTAAATAAATGGTTAAATAAGTTAATCAGTAGGTATAAAAGATTTTGTGAAGGGACAAAAAGGGGGCAGGGAAGGGGGGAGGGAACAGATATAACAAGCGAGATTGAAAACTTTATTGGTCTAAAGAAATAGTAATGATAACAACAAGGAAGTTTCGAGACATTCATCAGGCACAAGTGATCGAAACGGGAGAATATAATATCCCTATGAGTACGCGCTTATCAAGTCTCTTCTTGAAGCTATCAACTGAGTGGGCTGTGGTCACTTCGGCTGGAACAACATTCTAAGTTGTGATGACTTTTTACGACGAAAAATGCTGATGTGGCTCTGCAACTTATTTCCTATGTGATGATTCTGGCATCGAGTTGTAGACTGACTTCCGGTCACCTAACTTGTGCTTTTACATCAGCCTCTTCTTGGGAACTACCACCTTAAGACTGTTGGTCCAGTCGTCTTCGATACATACAAATACAGGAAATGTTGAAGTTGGTACGTACTTATGGAGTTCTGTTACAATGCTTTTATCGCATTGCACTAACATGCCTGATGCTAAGAGGTACACCTTAGATGCTATATATTTTCGTAGTTTCGTGTAATTCTCTATATTGTTTTGCGATTACGACAAGTTCTTTGTTGTACTGGTAGCGCTAGCCTGTATAAGAAAATCAGCTGAAACAAATTTATCTGAGGAAATACAGCAGCAGGATTAAATGACATTATTTTTAGTAGGCGTGATTTCCAGTTTCCTCCACCTGTCTGGCTTTCGTTACCTTACATACTGCGTTGGTTTTCAAGAAGAACGGCAAACTCATCAGTAAATCTCAGATAGGGGAAAACTATTCAATAATCTCTGACTGATTTTTCTGTTCTTATTGACAAATAGATGAAAAAGGACTTTGGTATAATGTTTGATACTCTATAACGTCAGCACTTTGTTATGTAAAACGTACTGGCTATGTTAAAATATATTTACAAGGTATAGAAATCTTTTGGGAAAAAAGTATTTCATATCGACAATTTTTTTTAAGTAACCAACAAAACTTCTCAGATGCAAACTCTTAGACAATTTTATTGTTTGTTTGTTCGCTAACATGATAACTGCCCTTTTTACCTGTTTCCTACGCTCTAGGACGCACAGTGTGCTGTTTGAAAAGAATATAAAATGAGTCACCAAAGGCCTGAAATTAGTATTATAAGGAGAGTTAAGTATTGTTCTATTCTGAGACGGGAATATAAATCTGTGACTTGTAGCCTGCAGAGCAGGTTTTTATCAATTTTATAGTGTCTGTACTATAACAACCCCGCAGTTATTATCAACAATTAGAAGACAGGTTAGGCGAAATTGTTGCTAAAAAATTTACCAGGCGTTTTCGTGCACGTGTTGCTCTGCTGTACAACTATCTCATAGTTTAAAAGATTGAAAGCGTCTTTCAGTCAGGCATTAGGTTAACGCATTTTGAAATGATAAGCGATTCAATTCGGTTTCGCATCAGAGCAAACAGCAAAACTTCACACTTAGTCGAAACGGCTCAAGGACTTCTAAATACAGATGGCTTTAGTGTCTTATCTAATGGATCCAAAATGAAAGCAAGAAGAATTAATAATGACGCTTGAAGTCAACAAGTAGTAGATAATGCAAAAAGATTTATCAAGAATAACTGTAAGGAAGGCCATCAAAGTTTATAATCTTCAAGACGAATTTGGACATGCACGATTTAAATCTTTAACAGCCATACAAATAGGTTAATAATTTGAAGTGAAGCAAACACTTGAATTGACGACACCATAAGGAAAATAGATGAACAATATTTACTTAAGTGAACTGTAACACTGAACTTCCACTAGTGAACTAATATTTTTTAAGACTAAATATGTGGCTGAGTCATATTTAACATGTTAGTCATGAACGTGTTCAGAGTCGAATACTTAATTTATTAGATCTGAAGTCAAAGTTACATCATTTCAGGAATTGACTTCTTTGTGTATTGTTAGTGATGCCCATCAGGAAAACCCTCCGGGAATATACCGAAGGTAATGATGTTAGTTTTACTGTAAAAATGTTAATCTAAATTTTTTTGCAGAGTTCCATTATTGAAATATATTGACAGTATAAAGATGTTGAATGTTTATTTTGAACATCGTAACATGAATCTCTCACATCGATTGCAGAGACGAGTGACGTCAAGTATATTCTGCCCCCCACGATTTCCACCCTCAATCAAAGTCTGCTCCCTAATTTCTCGTCAGAGCGCGATCTCGGTATAGTAACCACAGAAAGTCTCCACACGAGCTAGAACAAAAAAAGGAGACGCAGCCAAGGTAAATGAGATTCTTCACTTTATGCAAACACAACTTGGCGCTATCGTGCCACAATTATTCTTAACGTCATTTAATACATACCCGCGCACACTCCTGGAGTTTTACAACGTCGTCACACTCCTTCCCCTTAAGAGAGACATAGATCTCTTGAGTCGAGTGCAGAGATGAGTGGCGAAATGGGTGACAGGGTTGAAAAATGAAACTTACGAAGATAGACTTCAGCACGTGGATTATTCACCCTGAGTCACAAGAGAATCAGAGGTGATCTGATTATGGCGTACAACATATTCAGCAGGCGAAACCATCCCAACGTGAGCATCTCACAGATGCATCACCACTACACCTTGAGGCAATCTTCGAAAAATTGCGCATCAGAGAGAATTATCAATTTCATGCAAGCTTTTTCTCATCAAGAGTTGTTGCAACTTGGAATTCTCTACCAGATGAGGTTCTAGTGGAACTATTTCGTCGAAATAATACGACTACTGACGTACAAATACTTATTATTGAACATATGTAACATTAACTGTTTTATTGTATATCATTTGTTTATTTATACTAAAAGTCACTTAACGAGCACCACCCACGCCGCCCCTGCGGATCTAACGATCGTATCGTGTAATCATCGATTGTACGAGCTGAACACATGATATTATTCTAATATCACTCGACTTTCTATTAATAAACGTCGATATCCTAAATACAATCTTCTGTTCTGGATTTCGTTTGGACGTGTAACCTTC